AACATTCCTGGTTCCCCTGGGCCCATCCTCCCTCTCCTCCGGACGGGGGAAACAGGGTGGGGGCCCGGTGTCAACCCGACATATGAGTTAAGACCGGAGCTCACGGTGTGAGTTTTGCCGGGGATTAGAGCACGCAAACGCGGCTCTCACTCCCCAGGTGTCGTGCACTCATTGTGTCTGTCTCCCTCTGGCCCACAGACAGTGGAGAGCGGGAGTTCCCCCGCCCTGTCTCCCTCTCCTCCGGCGGGGGGAGACGGGGCGGGGGCCCGGGGTCAGCCCGGTAGCCGAGCCTAGGTTCGGCTGCCGGGCTGACAACGGGTCCCTCTATCTGCCATCACGGCTCTGCCGTCGATAGGCGGTATTCTCCAGGAACTCCCGGAGATCATCGGAAAGGCAGCCGCCTAATGAGATCTCCCCGTTCCCCCGGTTCAGGAGAGCTCTCCTCCGGATGACATAAAAAAAGCTGCATAAGCGGCTGCCTCACAGCCTGTCGGTTGTTATAGCAGAGCTCACGGCTCAAACCAGCTGTCTTTAAAACCTGTCGGTTAATTAGACAGCCCGGGTTTGTTTCCTATGTCACAGATGTGCCTCCTACACATACCTCCGCTCATTCCTCAAGCAGGTTTGAGCGTGAACCTCAATGTCTGTTTTACGAGTTTTCTCTTAAACGGCGACATGAGGAGAGCCGCTGTGTAATACAGTGTGTGGAGGTGCATAAGCCAGCTGTTTGTTACCTGTCGGTTAACAGACAGCGGGGCTCGCCGTTTGAGCCGGCTGTAACCTATTGGTTAGCGCGGCAGCGGGGCTCGCGGCACAAGCCAGCTGTAATTAACCAGTCGGTTATTAGACAGCAGGGCTTGACGGGTAAACCTGATGCTCCTAACCTGTCGGTTATAGGCAGCACGGTTTTTCCTCTGTCCCAGATGTGCCTATACTACACACGGTCGTAATGAGCCTAGGGCTGTTATTACGCACTGTGTGAATAGCACTGCAAACACCTCCGCTCATTCCCTCAGCGGGTTTGAGCGTGAACGCGCCTCAATGTCCAGTTTACGAGCCTTCTCCGAAACAGAGATAGGATGAGAGCCGGTGTGAGATGCAGCGTGTGGAGGGCCCCTCGCAGCCTTTTCGGTCCGGGCCCCTCTTGGGCTGCTTCACGGGCAACGGCGGCGAGGGCTCTGACGTGGCTCGTCACCATGACAACCACAGCACATCCAAAACATGCGTGCGCTCTCAGAGTATTACTCAGAGTGGCGACGCGTGTATTCGATGGACAGATGGATAATAATAAGCAGCAAGGCCCACCGGGTAAGCCGGCAGCCCCTAACCTGTCGGTTATAGGCAGCATGGCTCGCTGCATAACCGGCTGTCTTTAAAACCTGTTGGTTTTTAGGCAGCTCGGATTTTTTTCCTCTGTCCCAAACCTACCTCCTACACACGGTCGTAATGAGCCACGAGTGCCATTATTACAGTGTGGACAGCACTGCACACACCTCCGCTCATCCCTTAGGGGTGTTGAGCGTGAACGCACCTTAAATGTCCGGTTTACGAGCCTTCTCCTAAACGCGACATAAGGAGAGCCTGTGTGAAATGCAACGTCTGGAGGGCTCTGGCGTGGCTCGTCACCATGACAACCACAGCACATCCAGAGCAGGTTTGCGCCTTGAGTGACGGCGCGTGGGTTAGATGGACAGAGGGAAGTTAATATGCAGCAAGGCTCCCCGGTTAAGCCAGCTGCCATTAGCCTATTGGTTACTTGGCAGCATGGCTCGCTGCCTAAGCCGGCTGGGTTTTTTAACTTATCGGTTAATAAAACAGCTGGGCTTGCTATTCAAATCCGTCTACCGTAAACTTTTTGGGTTTAGGCAGCATGGATTTTTCCTCTGTCTCAGACACCTCCTACCCACGGTCGTAATAAGCCCACGGAGGGCCATTATTACGCCTCGTGTGGACAGCACTGCACACACCTCCGCTCATCCCTTAGTGGTGTTGAGCGTGAACGCGCAGTTTACGAGTATTCTCCTAAACGACGACATATTGAGAGCATGTGTGGAATGCAGCGTGTGGAGGGCTCTGGCATGGTTTGTCACCAACCACAGCACATCCAGAGAATGTACACCCGGTGCTATCAGAGTACTGTATGGTACTCAGGGTGGCGGCGAGTGTGTCTGATGGACAGATGGATGAGCAGGCGGATGGGCAGAGGGTAGTCTCTGCAATTAGCCACTCCCTCCCGCAGTTCTACGGGATACAGGAAGTCCTGTCATCCCAGGAACAGTGTCTCGCACAGAGACAGGATGAGAGCTGGTGTGAGATGCAGCGTGTGGAGGGCCCCTCGCAGCCTTTTCGGACCGGGCCCCTCTTGGGTTGCTTCACGGGCAATGGAGGCGAGGGCTCTGACGTGGCTCGTCACCATGACAACCACAGCACATCCAGAGCAGGTCGCACGCTCTCAGAGTATTACTCAGAGTGGCGACGCGCGTTTTCGATGGACAGATGGATAATAATAAGCAGCAAGGCTCACCGGTTAAGCCGGCTGCCCCTAACCTGTCGGTTATAGGCATCATGGTTCGCTGCATAAACCGGCTGTCTTTAAAACCGGCTGTCTTTAAAACCTATTGGTTTTTAAGCAGCTCGGACAGCTCTCCTCCGGCGCGTCACATCCCGCGGGCGGTGACAGTCCTCTCCGTGATGCAGCTGTTAGGCATGATATCAGCTGGTCACGTGGTGATTCCCCTGGGTCTCCTTCACAGTGAGGAGACTCCAGAGGTGGTTTATTTGCCGGCGTATCGACCCCGTGCGTCAGAGGAGACGCATGGTGTACATTCCTCCTTCCGTGGGTTTGGATTGAACCCACTGGAAAAATCTCCACGTCAGTGGGGGTGCCCCTGAGCAGAGTGACGTCACACACCACAGTGTTCACAGACGTATCTCTCGCAGGCTGAGGAACATGCATGTCGCAGGCAGTGGGGGGACAGTGGCCGGGTCACATGTCTCTCCATATAAACGTGCTGGAATTACTATATGGAAAGTAATCCAGCACTTCGCCCTGTTGCTGTACAATCAACATGTGTTGATTCGAACAGACAACAAAGCAGCGGCGGCCTACATAAATCGCCAGGGAGGTGTTCGATCAGCGCAGCTGCTGAACACACATCCTACACAGCCAAATGGACAATGTTCCGTTTGGTGTGTAGGGAAAATCCTGGACCCCGTTGGGCCCCCTGCCTCGTGCTCTCGTTCCTCCAGCTGTTGCTGGACGGAGGAATGACAGTGAAAGACATTTGCACTGCTGCATCTTGGTCTTCCCCCTGTTCTTTTATTCGTTTGTATTTGAGGGATGTCTCCCATTCCTCTCTGACACATTCACTACTGAATAGCCTGCCAGAATGAGTAATGTCGGGGTTTTCCAATTGCATGCCCTCTCTCTTGCCTGTCGGCCCTTAAAGAGCTGCCTTTGAGTGAGACTCGATCTCTACTTTTTAGAAATGACAGGTAGCCCGAGTAAGCCTACCTTCGTTCCCTGATGGAGAATATTCATTTTTTAATGCTATATTCCCTGGGAATGTGATGCTCCATTTAAGCATGGTGAAATGGACATGGGTTATTAACTGAGTAGGTGTGTTTTGTGCTTCTGGTAACGGACGGAACCAGTGGGGCGTAGACTACATCCTGCTTCGCCCTTAACCCAATAGCGATAGCCTTAGAGGGCGAAGCCTTATACGATATAGAACTGGGGTTACGTACTGTAACCCAGCTTCTATGAGTATAGGCGCAGCCCTCTAAGGTTCGGGCCCCACTGGCTCCGCGAATAGCTGAAGAAAAGCTGTTGGAGTGGATTGTAGGGCCTACTTCCTATTTATACGGAAGTGAGCCCGGAGTTGGGGCCCACGTCATAGGTGGGCGTGGAATAAGTCTGTCAGTGCTGCACACGTGCAGTGGGGATTACCCAATAGCGATAGCCTTAGAGGGCTGCGCCTATACTCATAGAAGCTGGGTTACAGTACGTAACCCCATATCAGTGCATGCACTGCCTCGTCCAATCAGTGAGCGATACACAGTAAGGGGGCGGGGCGAGTGTCTGAGGATTTCATCGAAGGATGGTCTGGTGGTTCCTCTGTTATAGCTCCTCCATTATCGCTCCTCGCTCCTCGGTCCTCGGTCCTCCGGCAAAAATAAGGCCATTGGGATGCTACTCAAGATGGCGCAGACAAATCAACTTCCGGTGAGATCGAGACCGAGGAGCGAGGAAATGAAAAATAAGAGAAGTGAGAAGGGCCCTGTGATCAACATGGAGGGAGACAGGAAAGACAATGAACCGACAAGGCACACAGGGGAAGACAAGACTAAATACAAAGAGGGGTAATCACAGGACAAGACACAGCTGGGTAAGGGAGACAGAAACTCAAGGTGAACAGGTGAACACAATCAGACAATCAGACACAGGAGGAAAGACACAGGAAGGAAGACAAGAGAGAGAACAGAACAGCAAAACCAACATTGTGACACAACACCAGGATCATGACACTTCTCTGTGTACAAATGCATACATTCAAGTGCAAATTGCTCTAAGTTCTATATGTAATGCACCTGTAAACATATGTTTTCATATTTGTGCTGTAGGGAAATCATTTAGATTTACTCAAATCTATACCTGTAAGGACTTCTTTGAGGTACTTCCTTTACTTCAGTATTTCACTTTTTATATTTCTTCTTCTCTTCATTTCAGAGATTAATGTACTATTTACTCCACTACATTTATTTGACAACCGTGGTTACGAGTTCTTTAACATAGTAAGATGTTACCTTTAACAAAGAAACCTTTTACGCATTTACATTGAATTGTTTGAATTTCATTTCCTAACGAACTATTTTGAATGCAGGACTTTTACTTAGATTTGTGTTTTTACATTGATATATTGGTTCTACTTAAGTAAAATGTTTGAGTATGTTTTCGTCCTCTATGTTCATGTGTGTGAATAGCATGTGCTTGTGTTTAGGTCTGAACCTGGTGGCCTTCCTGGTGATCGCCTTCTCTTACTCCAGCATGTTCTACTCCATCTATAAAACCGGAGTCAATGCCACAGACTTGAGGAGCAGACTGCACAGAGATGTGGCGGTGGCCAACAGATTTTTCTTCATAGTGTTCTCTGATGCCCTCTGCTGGATCCCCATTTTTATGATCAAAGTCTTCTCACTATTGGATGTGGAGATGCCTGGTAAGAAAATGAACAGTGTTTAAGATTACGTTTACATTTCCTTATTATAAGGCAAGGCAAGTTTATTTATATAGCACTTTTCAACACAAGGCAATTCAAAGTGCTTTACAAAAATGAAAGACATTAAGAGCATAAAACACATTAGAAACATTAAAAAGCAAAGATAATAAAACATGAATAACACAGGTACATGAATAAAGGTTACAGTGCAGTGTAAGATGTGAATAGTTCAATTAAAAGTAGCGGCAAAAAGAAAGTCTTCAGCCTGGATTTAAAAGTAGTAAGAGTTGCAGCAGACCTGCAGGTTTCTGGTAGTTTGTTCCAGATATTTGAAAATATCCCTAACCAAATTCTCACATTCCTCCACCCCTAGTCTTCCCGTGAAATTATAGTTCTTTTGACAGTTTTCTAACCTTTTTATATTCCTTTCATCTTTCTCTTTCAATCATTTTGCATCCCCAGACAACACATTTCCCCCTGTTTTACTGTTACCTGAACCCATCTTTGACCTTTAAACCACTTGGGTTATTTAAACCTGTTTTAAGACTTCCCTCATGAATCTTTGGCCTTTAACCACTTACAGTACAAATCAGAAGATACCATGCTACACATCAGTCTTTTAATGTGTTTAACCTTTACACGTCTATTACTATATAGAGCAACAGTTTTTTTTTAATTTAATTTCGCCCCAGGATTAATGAAGATTTCTGATTCTGAATTAAAACAAAACTGTGCTCCTGTTCTCCTTCAGGCACCATCTCCAGCTGGGTAGTCATCCTCATCCTCCCCATCAACAGTGCTCTGAACCCCATCCTGTACACCCTGACCACCAGCTTCTTCAGAGAGCAGGTGGAAGTCTTACTCTGTCGTTGGCAGAGGAGACACATCTTAAAAAAAGACCGCAAATGCCTAACTTCCTCCACAATCTACATGGAGTCCGGGCGGCCTCCTTGCTACCAGCCACCCCCCTACCTCCAGCAGGTGTCTCTGACGGGCGCAGATCCCCGCTACGCCTGAGGGAAGCAGAATCTGTCACAGCACTTTGTAAATTACTGGTCAAGGGCCACTTGCTGCTTATCTTTATGCTCCTGTATGACAATAGCACTGTTTTAATGAGACTGGCAGGAACTGGAGCAGGATTAACAATCACTGATCTGTCTCATCATTAGGGTCGGATTTATTTAAAAAATGCTAACATTTCAACCTTTTTGTTAAAAGGGTGTACATGTTGCTCAAAGTCCCTTCCACATGTGGGCACACAGCCCGGGATCAAACCAGCAACCTTTCAATGTTTTATTGAACCTCTGTACAACTTCAGCTGAGTTGCACCCATGCTTGCCTGCTTATGTGGCACCTACATAATATGTTGTTCCAAGTAAGGATACCGTAAAGTGGAGACAAAAATGGCTGAAAGAATAAATACCAGCATGTAGTGCTGCCGCCCCGAGGCAGGCACAATGAACTTTAAGTGTCTTAAGTCTCACAAGAAAAGTGCTTTATGTACTCTTATTGAACAAATATATCAGATTTTGCACTCATCCCTGATCAGATTATGGAGGTAGAGCAGAAGAGCGACTCCACTTCGAGCGATAGAACTATTAACAAAGCACTTATATACTAATAAAGGACTGGCTTATCTAAAGCCAGTTGAGTAGCACTTGAAATGTTGTTGCTCTATGAAACCTGATGTACTTATATGATTCTGTTTTCTTCAAGTTTGTATTTTGTTGGTCGAACGCATTTAGTGTAAGTCGCTTTGGATAAAAGCGTCAGCTAAATGCAATGTAAAAGAGAAAGCTGGGAGAAAGACACAATTTTCTCCAAGCTGACTTAGGGATGCAGCTTATTGAGTCACAGATGCTTATAAGACACTGACCAAGAAATGTTTTCATGGATAAATGGTTTCTATCAAAACAAAAAACAGAAATGATTGGATTGGACTTTTCTTTGACTGGTCTTGGATTGCATAAACTAAATCAGTTTTTTGCACATCAGCAGTTGCATTTGGCTTGTTTTGTGATCATGCAACATTTTAAAATGAATGCAACAAATTAAATGTAATTCATAAAATAAACCAGACAATGAAATGTTCAATTGCACAAATAATAATAATTGTTGACTCATAACATGATATATCTGATAATATTTTTAAAATAATATTAACTTTTAACTAATTTGCTACAGGTTTGTAGTGAATGGGATGAGAAAGACAACTTGAACTGGACTTTTCCATTTGAATTGGAAAATGAAATTGCCATTGAGATTTTTATTGACTTTTATGCACTTTAAATACGAGAGAACCCAGTCAATGGGAGAGAAAGGGATTAAACCGTCGACAATCACTAAATGATCCGCATCAGCTTTGTGTAGCAGCTATCTTCCTGTTCCCGACACATGTATGTTTCAATGTAAATGTGTGTTATATGAATGTTTCCTTAATTGTTTATTATTAAATGCCATTTTTTTTACTGCATGTACAGTATTTGTTCTGACTAATAATGAAGCAAAACCAATATGCTGCCATATCTTGAAACAATGAAATCAAACCTTTATTGTTCAGACGTCCTGAATAACCCTGACCCTGACCTGGACTAGATTAAACGTTTGGTTGAAGCATGCCCATAGGAGGGATTTGATCTGTTTAATTTAGATTGGTTGCCTCTGTGCTTGAGACTTTGTTTAATGTCTCTATTTCTACTTTTTTATACTGATATGTTATATGATATGCCTTTTGTTGTTGTTGCCTTTTAACAGTTGTTTTGACAATCATCAAAAATTCAGATAATAGAAAAACTAGAAGAGAGAGTTGTACTTATTTGTAGAGTTATATGTCAAGGAGTAGAACCCCCATAGGAAATAAGGACTATAATTTCCTATCATGCTGTGCATATGCATATATATTTTGTACAGTAGAGTTCTCAGTGTATGTTCTGTATACATTGTATATAATTGTGCAACAAACGATCCAAAAAGTTGTTCTCCTGAGTCTTTAATCAGCTTTTGCAAAAGAGACACAGAGCACAAGGTCTCTACAGCAGTCTGCTTTTATATATGGAGTTACACGTGCTCAGCCATGAGATAATTCACCCATGACTTTGTCAATGTTCATTCCCTAAGTGGCTATGTGTTAACCTGATTGTTGACATACCCAAATAATCATATCTCAACTAGATTGATACATTTTTGGGGGGGATGTCAGGCTCTAATACTATTATTATTTCACTAGGATTATTCAGTTTTCTTTTTGAATTTCCAATTCATATGTGTTTGTTGGAGTCAGGTTTGTGAACTATTTGTTTATTGGTTATTGCGCAGAGACTGCACTGATATAATAAAAAACAGAACACACTTCAAGTATATTCAACAGCGTTAACTTTTAATGTGAGCCTCAAGCTATTTAATGAGAAAAACAAGCTATTCAAACACATTCACAGGGAAATGTGCTGAGTAAGTGATTCGATTAAAACATTTTAAAGCTTACATGCACCGATAGAGAGCTGAAACACTGAAGCATTGACCCTCTTCATTCGTTTTTTGTAAAAGCTGAAACATTAAAGGTAAACAAAACCAAATGGAAATCACATTTTAAGCTTATTTGCAAATGTTTATCAAAATGATAGATGCTACCCCATGTATATTTTTCTTTTTTCCCACAGCCCTTTCTTCACTTGAATTAACCATACCTGCGTAGCCCAGCATCCTTCCGTGGCAGGTGTCCTGCCCTTGGACCAAGTTGCAGCCTTAGCGACAAGATGATGGACACAGCCGCCAACCAATAGGGAACACATCTTGCCTCTGTTTCCAGAACCTTGGCATCCCATTGGTTGCTAAGGGCGGGGCCCTGTCATCCTGAGCAGTAGTGCTGTCAGCCGGGGCGGCACGACTCCCGGAGGAGAGAGACGAGACGGATTGATGAAAACAAGCCACTAAATCACATAAACAAATAATTCGCGCCAGGAAATGATCCTGTAGTCGCCGAAATCGACGCAGAAAAGGTAAGGTTCCGTTTTTAATGTCACATTAGTGCTGTGTCTGGTGGTGTTTATTGGTGCTGTGTACCACAAAGACAACCAGGCAACGTCTTGACTCAACATCGATACAACTACCACAGGGGCTTGGACTAGCTCGTAAGCTATCGAGTTAGCTACAGACATAGCTGGTTATAATGGTCGACTACTAGATTTAAAATAGGTCTTGGCTGACCAGAACGCTTCCAGGTTGTTGTTTTTAGCATTCACCATACGAACAATGCCGCGTTGATGAATGGGGCAGATTAGCTCAGCAACAGACGGTGGTTGTAAATACACACTTCGTGATGGCGGTGAAAGATATTATGCTACGCTGCCTGTTAGCTACTAGCTAGTTAGCTTACAATAATGATATACCAATCAATTCCTCATTGCTAGTTGCTACAGTTTTGGGGTATAAATACGATATATAAAAGCTCGTAGTGTAACATAACCCAACACGTGATTGTCTGATGCCATGACTGAGCCTGGGGACCTAATTTCCTTCTAGTGAATATGAACGTATATTTACGGATTTTGGATGAGACACAGCCTTGCAATTGTGAAATGTAAATGGGTTATGGTCCATTGGCGTGGATCATCCCGCCTGAGTAGCTTTGCACTTTATTATTCTGCAGCTGAGATGCTCAGGAGTCAGCTGAATATTTTGTGAGAGAAAGCCAGTGTTGCAGCATATATTATTTACATGCACTCATACACAGTCAGACAGCAGACAGCACCACCATGTATAAGTGTCTGCTGGCAAAATGTAATGATACAAAATGAAATCATACCCATTTTGCTCTGAAGGTGAATTGTAGGAATCTGAATGATAAGGCTTAGTTTTCCTCCCTAGCATGCTCTCTGTGGGGTCTTATTTTAAACCAATTCCTGATTAGTCCCCATCCTCCCTCCTCTTTTTCTCCAATGATCTCCCTCTCCAGCTGTTTGGCACAGCCAGTTGGCAACGGTGACCCAGTTTGCTCCATTGTTCTGTGTCTGGACTAGAGTAACACACAGACAGCATGTCATGTGTGTCACTGCTCTCTGGTGTGTGAGGTTTCCCCTACTACTACTATTATGTTTGTCCACAATTAAAAAAAAAAAAAACATCTCCGTGTTAGAGAATACATCACCCCTTCACTGGCATATTTTTTACTCATCCTAAAGATAAGGGAGAGACTAGATAAAACATTAATGTAATGATAACATTTAAAAAATGTATATATTTAAGGTAGAAGGAATAGCTACAGCAAGATTTCAGTGTAGCAACGTGTGGCAAGAATGTCAAAAAAATGTTCTACTGACTTAGATAAAGTAGGCTAATATTTCAGGTCATTACATTTAGGGATGTGGAGTTGTATTATGCCACTAGGCCACCGTTCAATATAATTGATATACCACACAGAAGGTATTCATTTACAGTTTCTAAATCAGGTTAAAACTTCCGATACTCAATTAAAACAATTATATCTTGTTTCTAAGATTTTTCACACAGGGATTTTTCAACCAGGTTGACAGAGATTTATCCGTATACACAGTATAAGTGTTACGCTATGCTATGAGTTTAAAAAAAACAAGTTATATGGTTACCATTAGGTATGACAGCATCATAATGTTGCAGTGACGCTGTGGTTACAATTGATTAACATGGTGTGTCACAGTTTAAGATCAATCATTTAAAAATGTTTAATTACAGGATATAAAGCCTCCACACTAGTCATTCTCAGACAAAAGAACAGTATAACAAAAAATAACCAAAGTACACTTGTTTAAAATAAATTCACAAATCAGATTTTTTAATTTAGAAGGATAGAGAAAGAACCTGCACAACATCTTCTGCAAGCTCGTTCCATGTTTTTAAAGCACTAAGTGCGAAGATTTATTTTCTCTCACAACACTAAATTGAGTGGGGGTGGATAACAGTCTCCACTCTGTTATCATATATTCCATGGTCTCATTTTTACCCAGTGACACAGTGCCCTATTTTAGCTCTTTTGCTGACCTTTGCAGGCCACTGATCGATCGGTCAGTTTGCAACTGCCTTTGACCTCCTTTGCTCCTGACGACTGTAAACTCAGTCAGCTGGTGAATTATGTGTCTTTCCTCACTGTCATGTTTCCATAGATACCTCCCGGCACCTCACTCCCACTTGCTTACATAACCTGGTGTTTCTGCCAGGCACACACAAGTCCACACAAATACACACATTGGTACACAATCACATTCCTTACCGTCTCACTCCCTGTCTGACTCGGCCTCAGGTTGCTGTTGCGTTGGAGATTAGTGCATGTTTTAAGGGTGAGCTCTTCTCCTGATTAAGAGTAGCAGAACACTCTTACTTTAATGATCTGATAAGCCATTTTGAGCCCTGTGTTGATATGATGAAGATTGGATGAGAATTAATTCATTTGACTTGAGTGCTTTCTGTGTTTGAGGTAGGACTTTAGATAATTAGTAAAGGTAAGTTGTTTTACTGCTGTTGGTTTTAAAGGAGCAGTTTGCTGATGCATTGGAGATGCCAGAGATAGTGTTGAGAGAGAGAGAGAGAGAGAGAGAGAGAGAGAGAGAGAGAGAGAGAGAGAGAGAGAGAGAGAGAGAGAGAGAGAGAGAGAGAGAGCTAGAGAGAGAGAGAGAGAGATAGAGAGAGAGAGAGAGAGAATACACTGTACTGTGTGTTTATACTGCAAGGCTAATATTTGCGCATGAATGAATGAATTGTTCTTTTTGTATTACTTTTAATATAGTATATTTTAATATTGTTTTAATATTGTCTGCTTATCTGTATTATTGTGTTGCATTGTTGGAGAAGCCTGTGACCTAAGATTTTCAACGACATAATTACTCTAGCTATGTTAGTTTGAAAATAAAGAACCTTGAACCTTGTATATCTTCACTTCCCACATAATTGACAGGTTTTTACTTTATCTCTTAATTCAGGGCTAAAACAATTCACTCTGTCATTTGTATGCATTTTTTTTCTAACTTATGTATTTCAGTGAAGAGAGAGTTTACACCGTCTTTGTTCAGGGGAAGCCAAACAAAAGCATGAGCGTTTCTTACAAAGGAACTGTAGGTCTGAAAATAAATAAACGTGGTATCTAATGGTGGTTTTAAAGAGTCTTCAAACCTGCCCTCCTTAATCAGAAATGTGACTAATTGCATAAGCAGGATTATTATTTCTCCAATGTGCTCAAGGGGGCACCATTGTCAAGCTGCTGTGCAGGCCTGACAATGAGGAGAAGGACACACGTGAAGGACATCTGGCTGTTTTCGCTGTTGCTACAGCTGTGACCGGATAACTCAATTAATGATAGCATTTGTGTTGAAAATATTTAAACCTGATAAATTCCTACTTTCATGCTATGTGTGATTTTCTGTTAATTTCAGTGTTGATGATATATTCGTATTGCCTGATGCTACGAGGTGACGCACCGTTGTTTCCACAATCATCTTCTCTGTTAAGCCATTCAAGTGAAGTCAAAATGAAATGGCATAAAGCCTCATAATCAGGCTACCTGCCTATAATGCTAACACAGCTTTAGATGACATCTGTAGACCTGCAAACATGTCAAATCACTGCAGAGATAAGTGAAAAGAAAGTACAATTATTCCTTTCACTTTGAGTGCATTTGTCAGCCCAGTAGTGCCATCATAAAGATATAGCGTCTCAGTAACCGCGTCTATAACCAGTTAAAGGTATGCAATGCACAAAGATTGACCAAATCTCAGTGGCAGTTCAATCATTTCTATTGTCTTAGGCACCAATAATAGTATATAATTACAGGATGTTAAATAAAACAATGTTAGCGGGTATGTGCCTTAACAAACAGAGCCACTAGGATGTCCCACTTCAAAGTATTTATCTGTTATGGTGTTGACAAGTACTCAAAACATGTATTTAGTCCACAGAATAAATCTTATGCTGCAATTGTCAGTACAACAATAATGTTTGCGATACAAAGCTGCATTGTTAATAATAAGCTCCAAAAAGTGTTAATGGCACATTCCTTGCGGCTTCCTTTTGACCTAAAACATTGTGTGTGGGAGAAGAAATAGTTTTATATTTCAGCATATATGTGTGGCTGCTTGGCACCACTTGTCACATCACACGTCTTGTAGTTCTAGCTCTATACCCCCGTTAGCAGGGACATATTCTTGTTTGATGGGACACCAGAGAAAGACATAACAAGGAGACCATCAAATATGATATACGACTGATGGGATGACAGGAAAAGTGGACATTTGAATAAAGTAAAATGAGAAAGACATGCATGACTGAAGGGGCGCTATTTGGG